TTTTCCTTTGCAGCCAGTAGGAGAACAAAAGAAATCAGCACAGGGTATGCATACACCCCGATCATGGGCGAGAGGGTCATGTGATAGTTTTTGCTTCGGTTGCTGCTGCTGCTGCTGCTGCAGCAGCAGCTCTTCCTGCTGTTGTATTTTTTTTCTTTTTTCTCTTTCTTCTTTCTCTGCTTCTGTCTCTCCCTCTTGCTGCTGCTGCTGCTGCTCATCCTCTTCTCTATGCGTTGGATGGTGACAGAATACACAGTTTATTTGTTTACATATACCGCTGCTGCGGTAGCGGTTGCAGGGCATGCAGCGTGAGCGTGCATGCAGCAGCACAAAAGGATGCAGATCTGTCTTTATGTTTCGGTGCTCCTCATCGTGGCAGCGGGGGCATGCAGCCCCCCTGCTGCAGCCGTCTGTGTTGCAGAAGTACCAAACACAGGGGAGACAGCTGTCTGGGTGTCTCCATCGTCTTTGCTGCTGCTGCTGCTGCTGCTGTGCTGCATGCGCTGCATGCGCTGCTGCTGCTGCTGCCTGTAATTGCTGCTGCTGCTGCTGCTGCACTGCTGCTGCTGCTGCATGCATGTGTAGATGGTGGTGAGGGGGAGGAGGGGGAGGAGGGAATGGGGTTAGTGCTGCTGCATGCTGCAGCAGCTGCTGACGAGATGAGAGACGGGGGGGAGAGCATCTGCTGCGGCGGTCTGCTGCTGCTGCTGCTGCTGCTGCTGCTGCTGCTGCTGTCTCTGCTTCAGCTCCTCTTCTACTATACTCTCCACCACCACCAGCAGCAGCAGCAGCAGCAGCAACACGAGGCCGCCGCTGCATGCGATCGTCAGCAGCAAACCGTGCTGCTCCTTCTCCCCAGTACTCTCTTCTGCTGCTGCGGCCATCAGCAGCAGCAGCAGCAGCAGCAGCAGCAGCAGAATACCCACCAGGTGACCCTGGGCTCCTCCTCCCTTCGCTGTCTCCTCTGCGGCCTGAACGATATGAAGATCTTGCATATTGCTGCTGCTGCTGCTGCTGCTGCTGCTGTCGTGGTTGCTGCTTGTAGTGCTGCTGACTATAGTGGTACTGCTGCTGCTCTTCTGCT